TGCATGTAAGGCAAGCGCTCTACCACTGAGCCACCTTCCCAGCCCCAAGTTCATATTCTTAAATGTTAAGGAAATCAGTTCTTCAGCACAAACTTTAAAAAAATCAGCGTCACCACTCTGAACCCTGCTCGGTGTGTAGACTTGCTGGATGCTGGCTCTAGCCCTGCTGTGCCAGAGTTTTCTTGGGGGCGGGGGGGGGGGGCGCCTAAGGAACCATGCACCTCCAAAATAGGGCGACATTGGCCACCCAAAGGACTCAAGTCCAGCCTGAGAAGATGAGTTTTCATAAGGTTTACTCATGGAGCAGTGACCAGTGTGTCCCTGTCCACTTCTCCAGAAGAAACATTGTCACTCTCTTTTCTAGGACAGAGTCAGAACCACAGCACCACCTCGTGTCAGAACAGAAGTGACTACAACTCAAATGACCCCAGCAAAGTTCCACATTTTTGTGAGCGCCGTTGCTCTCATGGGGAGGGGGGACTGTTGCTGACTTGGGCAGACACTGTTACCCCATGGAAGGAGGGCTTATGTGCTGCACTTACCAAGATCAGCTATAACCATTCTTAAAAACTTCATTGGTGCTGGGCGCCGGTAGCTCACTATTGTAATCCTAGCTACTCAGGAAGCTGAGATCTGAGGATCACAGTTCAAAGCTAGCCTGGGCAGGAAAGGCTATGAGACTCTTATCTCCAATTAATCACAGAAAAAGCCAGAAGTGGCAGTGCGGCTCAAGTGGTAGAGAGCACACAGAACAACTAAATGGTGCTGATTTCAAGATGGAGTCACTGGCTAGGAGACAGAGGACCAATCACAAGCCACTCCTGCATCTCTGCTTGAGCTGGCCCAGGAGCACAAGTAACAGGTAGAGCTGCTCATATCTACCTTTGGGGTAGCCTGAGTTTTGGAGGCCAATGCTCTGGAGAAGGTAAATCCTCCAAAATAAGCCTGGCTCATGTCTGTAATCCTAGCTACCCAGGAGGCTGAGCTATGAGGATCAGGATTCAAAGCCAGTCTGGTCAGACAAATCCAAGAGACTCTTACCTTCAGTTACCCACCAAAAAGCCAAAAGTAGACCTGTGGCTCAAGTAGTAGAGTGACATCCTTAAGTAAAAAAGCTAAGGAGGGCTGGAAAGGTGGCTCAGTGGTAGAGCGCTTGCCTTGCATGCATGAGGCCCTGGGTTCGATTCCTCAGCACCACAAGCAGAAAAAAAGCTGGAAATGGTGCTGTGATTCAAGTGGTAGAGCACTAGCCTTGAGCTGAAGAGCTGAGGGACAGCGCCCAGATCCAGAGTTCAGGCCCCATGACAAAAAAAGAAAAGAAAAGCTAAGGGGAAAGGCCTAGGCCTGGAGTTCAAGCCCCACTGGCATGCACATGCACACACAAAATGTAACAAGGGCTTGGCTCTAGGCAATCCAGGGCACAGTGGACTGTGGCAGATGTGGACACACTTGTTAACCTGAGATCCACATTGGACTTAGAACAGAACCCTGGTTTTGAAGGGAAAAGGTGTAATAAGGCCCATTGCTTCTGAAGGGAGGCATATGGGACAGAGCAGACCTGAGTCTGAGCAGGCTCCCGCTGGCCTTCTAAATTCTGATCTAGGCAAAAGGAGAAACTCGGGCATAGCATCCAGGCAGAGCTGCTGAAGCCAATGCCCCTGCAGATGAATCCTCAGGCAGTTCTGATGGAACTCTCCACAGTTCAGAAGGAAACAGCCAAACCCTAGGATCACTGCAAGGACCTGGAGCCCTCTCTCTCACACCTAAACAAGGAGAAGGGCGGCAAGTGCCCAGGGAGGCAGCTACTATGAGAAGGAATTGCCAACTGCCTGGGTAAAGCCCTAGACAATGGGGGCCCATGGAGGAAGGCTGCTCCCCAAGAAGAAGCTGGGTGTTGCCCATCTCCCATGTTGCTCACAGCTTCGGCTCCTGACCACATCGTGTATGTGGATGAACACAACATCCGTGCCCCCACGTCTCCATTGGGCAACTCAGAGCAGCAGGTAGTGGCAGCAGGTAGACCCAGGGACCAGGCAGAGAAAGGCAGGCTTCCCACATTCCCCACGGAGACAGCTGTGTGGCAGGGCTCACTGCTGTCACCTACAAAGCAGGATGGTCTGAAGCAAAAAATATGACAATAATGACTCCAGACCTATAGCCTGGCCTGGCTATGCACCCCTGCCTAGGCCTCCATGGCCTAAGCCTCCCTGGCCCGCTGCTTTCCACCTCCAGACCCAGCCAGATATTAGCCACCAAGGGCAGAGTGGGAAGGGCCTGGCAAGCCAGGAGGAGGCAGCACCTGGGCTCAGCCTCTCCACTGGGAGAAGTAGAAGGCCCTTCAAGGTGGGACCAGAGGGGAGAGGGATCAGTTTGTGGTGTAACACTCTTAGGGGCTAAGGGAACACCCCCCTCCCCCATTTTGGCTTCTGTGTTCAGCACAAGACCTGGCCAGGATGGGTGAGAGGATGACAGGCCAGGCGCTGGGGAGCAGGTGGCATGCCCTCAGCCAGCTGCCCTTGAGCTGCACCCTCCGGGGTTTCATTTGCTCAGCCCCAGCCAACCATGCGCCCTTCCCACAGGTGTCTGTCAGGGGTGGGCACGCTGTGTCCGGACATGTCACAGTGGTCAGTGAAATGCCATCCTGGACACAAAGCCTGGCAGGCCAAGCTGGACTGATGTCCCTGCCCATCACTAGCTCTGCCAGCTGCTAGGTCACCCAGCATGACCAGAAGGAAAGCCGCAAGAGGGACAGGCTGGCTGCCAGGGGGTGTTCTTCCCAAGTGCTCAGCTGTGTGAGGGGGACAGGCTCCAGCAGCCACCCTAGGCCTCTTCCGCTTCTCTCTGCCACGTGTTACTAAAAGACACGCAGAGATGCCTCCTGCCACCCGCAGTCCCCCCAGGGACCAAGTCCCTGCAGGTTTCCAGATGGAAGAGGCACTCTTCTAGTGTGTTAAATGTTACATGAAATGTAATAGAACGCGTGGTTCTAGCCACCTCGGTGTGCAGCTCAGACATTAAGTACAGCCATTTCTACAACTTTTCATCTTCCCAACTGGAACTGCTGCCATTGAACACCAAGTCCCAGTTCCCCTCCCCACACTGTCTCCTTCCCATCTGGTTTCTGTGCACTCCAGGAGTTTCCTGTAAGCACCTACAGGACTTGGCTGAGCCAGGCTCCTTCCCCTTAGCACGCTGAAGGTGCAGCATGCCGTGGTGGCTGTCATTGTCCTTCCTGCTTAAGGCTGCAGTGGACCGTGTATGGACGGAGCCTGTGGTGTTTATCCACCATGTGTCTCTGGGGTCCACCTTGGGAGTACTGGGTGTGCAAACAATCTTTTCCATATCTACCCCGGAATGAGACTGCTGAGTCTCATCAAAGCTAGGCCTAGTGTTTTTTATGAACTGCCCTACTCACACAGCTGTACCAGGAAACCAGTGCCAGCCAGGGAAGTAGGGGCACTGCCTGTCCTCGAGACTCCATCCATCTCCAGCCTACACAGGGCCCACAGTCCCTTGCTGCTGTCCACCCTCCTCCCCCATCCCATCCCATCCCATCCTCCCTGTCCACCCCTTCCATCCTGCACTCTGCCTTTCCTGCCCTCTGGTACCCCTTCAGCCACCCAAGCAACTCTGCACCTCCCCTGACTCCCCGTGACTCCCGATGCCAGTGAGGCACATGTGCACAACCAAGGAGAGCAGCCTCCACAGACAGTGCAATACTGCCAGGCAGGCTCAGGGGAGGCCTGCAGGCAGGTGCCCAGGACAGGTGCAATGAGCACCTGGGCTGTAGGTGTGCTTACAGCCAGCTTGGGGCACAGGTCTGTTCCTTTCCATGGGCACAGGACACGTGCAAGGCAAATCAACCCGCATTGTTACTGGTCCCTGAGCTCAACTCCCAGCTCAAGTCTACACTCAGAATGATGAATCCCAGAGTGAGCCAGCCATTTCAGTCAACCTAAGATGCAACCTAGGCCCTAAACACCTGCCTGACGATGTATCTGCTGAGATGCTCCACCTGGCTGTATGCCCAGGTGCCAGTCAAGTACACATGCAGCACGTGCAGCAGCGGCAAGTCCAGTGCAGCCACCACCAGGGGCACAGCACCAGTGGGGCAAATGCTGACTCACCACTGTGGCTCCTCCCAGGTTACCAGAGGTCAGGATTGGGGAGGGGTTGGTGTCCTACCACGTAGGAGCAGCTGGGGAAAAGCCACACTGGAAGGCCCAGCCAATGTGAGCAGGAAATCCAGTCTCCCCAGAGATCCTGTTTCCAAGGCCAGCTCATGCATACTTCTCAAGGCAAGCCACCACCCTGGTGGGCACCAACTTAGCTACTTGGTGGGCACAAATCTGGCCAGGGAAAAACACACACCTGCAGCACCACGGGCATCCCTGAGCACAGGAATGGCTCCCGCACTCCCCAAAACTGGTGCCTTAGAATTCCTCTACTTCAGCTCTAATTCGCTGGGAACATTCTCTTCCACCCTAAAGTCCACCTTGTCTGAGAAAGAGCCCAGGGCTGAGGCGGGCAGCAAGGTAGAGAACAGCTTGTTTCAGACCATTGGATAGAAATATGTTTAGAAAATATCTGACTTGGCTAAACAGGTTCAGAGCTAGGTTCCAGCCTGGCACCCACATTCTCAGCCATGGCTGAAGTCCTAGAGCTTGTCGCTTTAAAAAGTAATTATGAACAGAGTTCACAGAACAGAAAACTTGTGTTATCACTTGGGAAAACAGGTGATGCTTGAGAAGGTGGGAGAAGGAAAGGCGGCCAGAGCCGGAGGATGGCCGCAGTGCCCATTCCGCTAGCTGGGAACTGGGGAACAGAGCTCTCATTCCCAAGGTATCACAGTCCCCAAAACCCATTTGAGACCTACCCACAACCGACGTGCACAAGATGGCCATGTGCTGAAGTGGCAAAACCTGCCCCAGGCAGCCTGGAGAACACCCATGTTCAGACATAGGCCATCCTTGCTGGCACTCAGTCACGTGAAGACAGGAAATAGGAAAAGGGTTTATTTATTAAAGAAGTCATCTGTGAATCACTCTGGTTAAATTAGCACACTTGACATAACACTTTGGATTGGAACATGCCTTCTTTCAAATATCAGGTAGGCTCCACAAGCAAACACCTAAGGGTCAATTCAAGTAGCATTTCAAGAGCCACCAGAGCACTGGGAAGGAGCGGTCGCCCATCCTCCCAGTGCAACAGCTACTTTCTGTAAACACGACACAAGCCAGGATGCGGCCTTACAAACCACCGGCGCAGAAGTTGGTGAGCATGGGGTCAGGGAGGAAGAGCCACGGCTCTGTGATCCAGGCGCAGGTACTAAGCGGCGTCTACACACGGTCCCCTCTGGCCCTCTGCCCCTTCCAGGGGGGCTGCTGAGGCTGCACAGCCAGGAGCCCGGGTGGGCACGCCTACGTGCGGTTTAGCGTCTGGAAGATTCTGGAGATCTGCAGCATGACTGGGCCTGTCTCTGGGTCATTCATCCACTGTGTGCTGTTAAGTGGGTTCTCCAACATGTCTTCAAACGCTGTGGGGAGGACAGTGAAGCTGAGCACCCGCATCACAGGACCTTCCCCTGAAAGGCCTCACAGTACAAGGAACTACTACTGCGGGAGCTTTCAGCCAGAACAGCACTCTCTGCCAAAGCAGAGGGTGGGCTCCACCTGACAGGGTGGCGGGCTCCCTAGGGGCTCACCAAACCTCAACTCTGCAAAGCCATGTGTCAGCCGAAGCAGGACTGGAAACTCCCACCTTACTGGGCGCTGCTGGCTTACTCCTATAATCCCAGCTACCCAGGAGGCTGAGATCCAAGTTTCACAACTCAGAGCCAGCCTGGGCAGGAAAATCCTTGAGACTCTTATTGCTAATTAACCACCAAAAAGCTGAAAGTGGAGCTGTGGCTCAAGTGGAAAAACACTAGCCTTAAGCTTTTAAAAAAAACTAAGGATCAGTATCCAGGCCCTGAGTTCAAGTGCAGTACCAGCATAAAATAAAAATAAGTAACAAAGAAACAACTTTCTGTATAAAAATGAGTAGCAACCCCATCCAGCCACGGCCCCACTCTTGACAGGAGCTCTGCCTAGGACCAGGGAGCGGTGGCCAGTCATCAGAGGCATCTCTCTTTGAGACTCCAATGCCTGCAGGCCTAGCCTTGGTATGCAGCCTGCAGAAAACCCCATCCATGGGCAGTGAGGGGTGGGATGAGAAGGCTTAGAGCAGCCACTGTCAGACGGGAAGAGAGAACCAGCCATGGCACAGACATGGGCCTGATGCTTTACAGCCTATCAGAGAAACTGCTGAAAATGATTCTGTATAAGGCAGAACAAGAGACAGATTGTTGGGGGGGGGGGGGGGGGGGAGCTATGTAATGTGGCAAAATTCTACAGGAAAGCAAAGGAATGATAGGCCTTCAGGACTGGTGCCACTCTGTGTCTGACAGCGCCAGGGCATGCAGTGGAGGGATGCTCAGAGGGACCCCAACAGTTGTCTTCTATGTTCACCCTCAGACTCCACATCCACAGAGCCAACCGAGGACTGAAAATCTCAGGAAAGACCAGCTATGGTGATGCATGCCTGTGCCCAGAGGCTGAAGTAGGAGGGTTTCAAGTTTGAGCCACACGCCTGTAATCCTACTGCCTAGGAGGCTGAGATGTGAGGATCACAGTTTGAAGCCATCCTGGGCAGGAAAGTCCATGAGATTCTTATCTCCAGTTAACCACCAAAAAGCTGGAGGGAGCTGTGACTCAACTAGTAGAGTTCTAGCCTTGAGCAAAAAAGCTCAGAGCCGTTGCCAGACCCTGAGTTCAAGTCCCAGAACTAAAAAAAAAAAAAAAAAAGGTTGAGCTAGGCTTGGCTAACATAATAAAGGCATCTACAAAATAAGACAAAATATGTCAAGGGAGAAAATATGTATCTATCTATAGCTAGGCAGCACACATGGGGGAAGCACAGAAACAGTGGGACAAAGGATAAACTGATACAGCAGTGACACTCACTAGATACTACGTTGGAAAAGAACTGTACAACTTGCGGGGGGAAGAGGGGGAAAACTGGGAGAAAATGAGGGAGGTACCCCCTTCTGTTCAAAAGAAATGTACTCCTTACCTGACTTATGTAACTATAACCCCTCTGTACACCACCTTTACAATAAAAATTCTAAAAACCACACCCACACACACACGTAGACTTCTTTCTTGTCATCAGTCCCTAACTAATACCAAATAACAACTATTTATATGGCATTTAACATTCTGCTGGGGATCCTAAGTAACCCAAAGACCCCTGAAAGCACACGCGAGGATGAAGCTGGGCCACAGGCACAAACTTCACTATTTTTATAAGACACTTGAGCATCTGGATTCTGGTACCCACAGAGCCGCCTGAAACCAAACCCCATGCATACTGAGGGATGATTACACTGTTTTTTTAAGCTGATGATACATGCATGGCTATTCGTTTTTAATCATTCTTTTAGTTATAAACATTAAATATTTTTGTACATTACTATATAATTAACAATTATCAAGAAAGTCCCTTATGGGTTGGGAAGGTGGCTCAGTGGTAGAACGCTTGCCTAGCATGCATAAAGCCCTGGGTTCAATTCTTCAGTACCACATAACCAAAAAAAAGCCAAAAGTGGCGTTGTGGCTCAAGTGATAGAATGCTAGCCTTGAGCAAAAAGAAGCTCAGGGACAATGCCTAGATGGAGTTCAAGGCTCAGGACTGGCAAAAAAAAAAGTCCTTACATATAATAAGTGAAAGTCAAAAACACTCCCTCTCCTTATGCCATCACTGGTTCCCTCGGGAGCCTATCCCACCAGGGGTGCGGCCTGACTCCCAGACCTTCACTGGCTGAGGGTCCCTGAGGGAGCCCGCCCACCCACACAGACATGGCTCAGTGGCATCTGGGCTATGGCAGGAGCCTTCCACGTGCTTGGCCCAGCTGGCTCTTGTGCAGGGATATCCGTGAGAGCCCCTCCCCCGCCGCTCCGACCCAGCACCAGGGCCTGGCTCAGCGCCCTCCGGGCTGTGTCTCCCGCACTGGCCAGGGCAGCACAGCACACATACCTAGCAGGGTCTTGGGGTTGGTCAGTCCCAGCTGCACCACAGGATTGTCCAGGATGGCCTGGAACAATGGGCTGTTGGGGTCGATGCCCTGGTCAAGCTCCTCAGGGGACGGCTTCCGGTCCCCCAGCAGCCACTCGCACTGCAAGCCCAAGAACAGGAGAGTGGCCGTGAGCCCCAAGGCACCCCGCCCCTTCTGAGGCTTGCGCGCAGAAAGCCCGACTGGCATCGGCAACCCCAGCTGCACTGGGCGCCATGCATGCTGGGCAGGGAGAAGTAAGTACTGTGTGCTTTCTTGGCAGACCTGACCTGAGCAGTTAATTAGTCACTGCTACATCCCTGGTCACAAGTCCAACAGGGCCCCAACTCCCAGGTTGGTAGGAAACCCTCACTGCCTGAATTCCTCCAAAGCCAATGAGCCTGGAAAGCCTAGACAGAACTCTTCATCTCTCTCACCTGAGCCTCAACTCCATCCACATGTGGAGGAGTCACATCCCCCCCCCCCCCCCCCCCCCCCCCCCCCCGCTCCCCGCTCCCAACCCTCAGAGCCTTCCAGGGGCAGAGTGCCTCTCAGTAGCAGGCGCGTGCTCCTAGCATAGCACTCAAGATTAAGCCTGTTTTGTAAATGAACTGACTACGCATTCACGTGTAGGACACTGGTTTGCGATGGTATTTTCCCAGTGGGCAGTCTCTGAAGCATCTGCTGCAGCGACGCCCTTCACAACAGCACCACCGACAGCACATGGAGTCCCACATACGATCACAGACCACGTGTGCAGGTGAGGCAGACACCTGGGCACAGGCTGCCTGCCTGGTACTCACAGCAGCATTCTGCTGGTTATTGTTCACTCGGAGGGCATCTATCACTTCCTTCTCATCGAAGCCCATCTCCATCAGGGAAATGACAGCCTGGAAGGGAACCAGATATCCGGTTAACACCACAGCACAGGACACAGAAGCCCACAGGGAGCTGCTTTAGTACAGCACCATGGCAGGTGTGTGGAGGTCCTGGAGAATTTTCCACCTCGAGGTTTTCTCATTACAGCACATCAGGTTCCAAGCCCTTGAGTCCTCCTGGCACAGGGCCGGGGTGCTGCCAAGGAAGCCCTGTTGGGGGGCAGGAGCAGGAACCTCAAGCCACCTGGCAGCACTCTCAGGACACAGCTGACCAGCCAACCTGAGACGATCCAGGTTTGTCCCCATGAGCTGAGGTGGCCACACCGTCCTCAACAGCCATGTGTGAACTCACCCCAAAGCATTCCAAACAGGAAAGACAGCCAACAGACTGGGAGAAAATCTTTGCCAGCAATACATCTGACAGAGGCCAAATACCCAAAATATACAACCCCCAAAAACTAACAAATCAGTAAATAGGCAAAAGAGCTAAAAAGAGACTTCTCAAAAGAAGAATGGTAATAAAACACGAGGAAATGCTCAACATCCCTGGCCATAAAGAAAATGCAAATCAAAATGACTTTGAGATTCCAACTCACCCCAGTTAAATTAGACATCAAGATTTTGAACAACAAATGTTGACAAGGATGTGGGGGGGGGGGGGGGGGGGAAGGAACCCTACTGCACTGTCGGTAGGAATATAAACTACTGTAACTACTCTGCAGGGAGGTTTCAAGATTACTCAAAAAACGAAACACAGAACTTCCTTATGAGCCAGCCATTCCACACGTGGCATCTAACCCAGAGCGCCACAAGCCAGGACACTAAGGACACTTGCACATCATGCTCACTCATGCTTACTGCTGCTCTATTCACAAGTGCCAAGTTATAGAGACAGCCCAGATGCCCTTCAATAGATATCAATGAAATGTGGTCTATGTACAATGGAATTTTACTCATCACTAGAAAGAATAAGATCGTGTCATTTGCAGGAAAATGGATGGACTTAGAACAAAGGTAATCCAAGCCCATATGCGAAAGCCAGATCTAAAACAGCAACTGAACATGATAACCTATAAAGGACTCTAGGCATTCACATACAAACAGTCAGACTAAAGGTTACCCTTAGAAGAGGAACCCAAAGATGTAACTCCTCTGAACATTTGAAATACTATTCATGGAAATGAGTTCCAGGAAATGGAAACATGGGGTTTTTGTTGGTGGTGGTGGTGGTGGTATTTGTTTTTGTCTTTTTAGTGGGGGCAAAGGAGGGACGCAGAAAAGGAGAGAAGGGTGAACAAATGCAATCATGTTATTCAGTAGACACTGGAAAATGAGCTATGTAACTTGTGGATAGCAATGGCAGGGGAGGGGAAGATTGGGGGAAAGCAAAGTGGTGACATTGTCCAAAAAAGAAATGTACTCATGGGCTGGGAAATTGGCTCAGTGGTAGAGCGCTTGCCTTGCATGCTTGGGGCCCTGGGTTCGATTCCTCAGCACCACATAAGCAAAAAGAAAAAAGCCGGAAGTGGTGCTGTGGCTCAAGTGGTAGAGCACTAGCCTTGAGCTGAAGAGCTGAGGGACAGTGCCCAGGCCCAGAGTTCAGGCCCCACGACTGGACCCCCCCCCAAAAAAAAAAAAAAAAAAAAAGAAATGTACTCATTACCTGACTTACAAAATAGTGACTCCTCTAAATAATACCTTGGTGTGTGTGTGTATATATATATATATATATATATATATATATATATATATATATATATACACAGATGTATAAAGAAGCTGGGCACTAGTGGCTCAAGCCTATAATCCTAGCTACTCAGGAGGCAGAGATCTGAGGATTGTGGTTCGAAGCCAGACCAGGCAGGAAATTCCATGAGACTCTCATCTCCAACTAATCACAGAAAAAGCCAGAAGTGGTGCTGTGGCTCAAGTGGTAGAGTGCTAGCTAGCCTTGAGCAAAAGGAGCTCAGGAACAGCACCCAAGCCCAGAGTTCAAGCCCTAGGAGAAAGAAAAAGAGGGAAAGAGGGAGAGAGGAGAGAGAGAGAGAAAGGAAGGAGGGAGGGAAAGAGGAAGGAAGGGGAAGAAAAAAAGAAATGAAAAAAAAAAAAAAAAAAAACAGCAAACTGGGCTGGGAATGTGGCTTAGTGGTACAGTGCTTGCCTGGCATTCATGATGCCCTGGGTTCAGTTCCTTTCCTGTACCACATAAGCAGAAAAAGCCAGAAAGTGGTGCTGTGGCTCAAGTGGTAGAGTGCTAGTCTTGAGCAAAAGCAGTTCAGAGACGGTGCCCAGGCCCTGAGTTCAAGCCCAGGACTGGGAAAACAAAAAAAAAGCAAATGAATTTTAATTTTTTTAAATCAGTCCTAGAGCTTGAACTCAGGGCCTGGGTGCTATCCCTGGCCCTTTCTTGCTCAAGGCTAGTGCTCTACCACTTGAGCCACTGCTATACTTCTAGCTTTTTGGTAATGAATTGGAGATCGAGGCTCATGGACTTTCCTGCCAGGCTGGCATCCAACAGTGATCCTCAGATTTCAGCCTCTTGAGTAGCTAAGATTATAGGTGTGAACAACCAGCACCTGGTAAAAAAAAAAAACAACAAAAAAAACACTAACTTTTAAATGTACCAATTAATTCATAAGGAAGGGAAAATGGAAGGAATAGAAACTGTCTAGTGAGTGTGTGGAGGAGAGGCGGCCCTGGGGAAAGGGGGAGGTGTCATGGGGACCTGCAGGGTGGGGCCTACGATACAGCCCCTGGCCAAGGGAGGCAGTAGGAGCCATGCTTAAAGCTAGGTCAAGACAAGCCCCTGCTACAGGTGTATATGGGCTACGGCTGCACTGGAACAGCCAACTAAATGCTGACCCTGCTGGGAGCCTGCTCCACTCTACAGAGGCACACCAGGGTCACCTACATGGACACTGCGACTGGCCACAGGGAGCCCCACGGAACCACAAACCCCACAGACAGCACCCCACACAAAGATACCCCACGAAGGAGCCGGAGAGCACACAGAACCAGAGCGAGTCCCAAGCCAACAGAGCTTCAATCTAAAGACAGGTGTAAGGTTCAGGAGGGGCTAAAACCAACCAACATGTAAGAGTGAACATAGAACAGGAAGTGTGAAGGAATTCATGGGAAATGGCAGGGAGGAGAGGTCATGAGCGCTGGGTGGCGGCTAGCTGGCAGAGGGTAATGATGCCCCCAGACCACAGGTCCTTCCTTTCCCACTGGCCAGCCTCAGGTCCTTCCTCATCCACTGGCCAGCCAGCCCGACCCACACCCTTACTAGCCGCCACCCGTGTGGTGCTCCTCCAGATTGCAGGACTTTCCCCCTCAGCCCCAGGGCCACAGCGACAGATACAGCGAGCAGGCTGACACTGTCCATTGACCTCCAAGGTTTTCCAGAGATGACACATGCTGATAGGCCATGGAGTAGAAGGAGCCACGTGGACTTGAGAGAGTATCAGCTCAGGAGAAGCCTGGCCCCACTTGTCCATAAACTTCACCCCAGCTTCCCAGCACACAGTCACCCGCCAGGCCCCACAACGCACCCGAGCATCAGCCCGGAACTCCCTTTTCCTGCGAATCTTCTTGAAGATTTCTGTGAGCTCGTCCCGGGCCTCCTCCTCTATTGCACTAGCTCCAGCAGCAGCTTCAGGGGCAGCAGCCACAGTATCTGCCCCTGCGGGGGAAGACTGGCCAGGAAGAGGCGTATCGATAGCCGGGTCTTCTGCATGCTCAATCAACCACTCCATGGCCTGAGGTACTGACATGCTGAAACAGAAACAGAGGTTCTTCCCATCCGTCCACCCTGGAACTAAGAAGAGACAGAGTTCTGGGCCTGGAGACTAAGAAGAGACATTACAGATCTGTAGTTAGGCCTGGGCCTACCCGCCCTACGACTAAGAAGGGACATTACTATACAGCAGATCCACCAGCAGTAGATGCGCTTGGAGATGGGAATCTCCACACAGCCCTTGCCTCAACATCAAGGCCCAGGCCACGCACAGACTAAGACCGAATGCTCAAGGGGGTGGGGATCTAAGTCTGCAGCATAGAAGAACCTCCCCTGCTCTCCTGCATCCTCGCCTCAGATCTGATCAAGGAACTAAAACCATGATCTCTGCATGTAAAGTGCTTCTTTGAAAACAATCTATTAGAAATAACTCATCAAACAAAGGGTTTGGAGGGCAAGAGGTGACCCCAGAGAGTCTGTAAGAATGCAGAGAGGGAGAGAGGAAGGGAGGGAGGGAGGGAGGGAGGGAGGGCAGGTCAGCCCGACGCACTGGTTCAGCCTGAGGGCTTTTGAGGCTCTGCTCTCGGGGAAGCCCATCTCCGTGAGCTGTCGCAGGGCAGCCTCGTCCACTCGCTCCTCCTCATCTTCATCCAACATAGCTGCAGGTCAGAGAGGAGACCCTGCATGAAGGGGTGCCCAAGTCCAAGCCCCAGCCCTGTGTTACAGCCTCCTCTGTACACACCCGACTGTCTAAAACCTCAGCGGGATGGCACATCAACCACAAGCAGAAATGGAATCCTGTGAATCCCCCATTTTGATGCAAGGGCTTAAGGCAGTGGGCAAATAAACTCATGCCAGAAGTCAGGGCCTGGCTCATACCATTAGCCTTCTTAAACAATTCCACTGCGTCGGGGTTCAATGCTAACAACTTCTGTGCCACCTCAATGAGAGACACCAAGATTTTCCGGAGTTCTGTCTGGAACTGCAGTAAAACAAAGAAAGATCATTTGTCTGGATGTCCAGTGAACCTATGGAGACCCCCAATGCACCCCTGAGCCAGCACTCCTCGTCTGTGAGGTCAGTCCCTGCCGTCTCCTTCAAGGCCAGCTGAGTGGGGTTAAGAGCTGGGGCCATGTGATTCTAAAGAGATGTAGTGATAAAAGCCCCACTCCTGCCTCCCTGAAGAGAGCTGGCAGCGCCACCACCTGGCTGGAAGCACAACAGGCAGCAACAGTGCATCACCCAAGCTAGAGAGTGGACGCTACAACCTAAGACCCTTCCCACACCCGCTCACAACTGTGTGGCGATGCTGGAGCTGGGGGAACGGCTGCCTTTACACCACAAGTCTGTGCCTTTAAGACCCTGCCTAGGCTAGAGACAGAGGCTAGGGAGAGGCACTGATGTGCCAGCTGCTACAGAGACTTATAATTCCTGATCAACATGGAACTCTCTAGAAAAGACCCCCCCCCCCCCCAGTTTTGTTCCTAAAACTAAGGCTCACAGCAATGCCTGTATCAGTCCAGACCTGATGAGGCCAAAGGCCAGCTACTCTCCCCATCCTCCAGCGTCCACCTCTTCCACTGCCCACGCAAGCATGGGGACACTTCCTTCTGTCCAACTAACTTGGGAGCTCTGGCTTCTATGCCAAGCTAGGGCCAGCTCAGGCCCAAGTCTTCACATTTACCGGGGCAATCTGTCTCTGCAGTCCTCCTCAGGTATCTGACATGCTGGGTTTTTTTTTTTGGGGGGTCCAGTCGTGGGGCCCGAACTCTGGGCCTGAGCGCTGTCCCTCAGCTCTTCAGCTCAAGGCTAGCGCTCTACCACTTGAGCCACAGCACCACTTCCGGCTTTTTTCTTTTTGCTTATGTGGTGCTGAGGAATCGAACCCAGGGCTTCAGGTATGCAAGGCAAGCGCTCAACCACTGAGCCACCTTCCCAGCCCCATGCTGGGGTTTTGGCTCTTGGTTTTTTGAGTGCAATACTAGGGCTTCACACTCACTAAGCTTTCTTTCTCCCAGCTGGCTCTCTATCGCTTGAGCCATCCTTTAGCCTAGCTTCTTACTAACTGGAGATGGAGTCTTGCAGAATCTTCTGCCCAGACTGGCAATCCTCCAAGTCTCAGCCTCCTGGTCGCTAGGATTGTAGCCGAGTCACTGGCACCAGGCTTCTGGCATAACGCTTACTTTAAGTAATGCTAGATTCATGGAGCAGTTGTAAGAGTAGTAGTGAGTTCCTGAACACCTTGCCCTGGCTTTTCCACCTTTTTTTTTGTTTGTTTGTTTGTTCGAGGAAAGTCTCACTCTGCTGAGCAGATTAGACTCAATTCCCAGGATTCAAGCACTCCCCAGAGTACTGAGACCACGGGCATGCAGCAGCCACTGCAAGGCCCCAAGCACTCCTGAAAGGCTTCTATCACCCCAGGCACTCAGCATGCCCTGCTCTGGCCAACACTCACATCTCTCATGGTAGTCTGGACTGCAGCTCGGTCTGTGCTGCAGGCAGGCAGGTTGGCTGTCGCCCGGAGGATGGCGTCTTTGTCCGGAGCCTTCTGCTCTTGTTTCTTCTGCACAGAAAGGGATGAGAGTTAGAAAGAAACACAGGAGCATAAGGAGCACGGCTACAAACCTACAAACATGGCCTAGCTGGGGAGCGAGCCCATCTCCTTCTACTCTACAACTGTAGCTCAGCCTCTGAGAGCTGGGGGCTGGCACCGGAGTCCTGTGCACAGCTCAGCAGCAGAAACCCAGACAAAATGCATACCACACTAACCAGCTACTAGAATACAGTGCAGAACAACCCTGCAAGGCTGGGGTAGGACTGGGCACGAGAGGCCTTTGAGGACCCACAGGACCCTGCAGTGAAGTCTGAAGGCTAAATACAGACGTCTGTGCTTCTTCTGGAGCCTCCCTGATCAAGAGCAAAGGCTAAGGAAGACATGCGGAGAACAACACAGGAGAGGAAACTGGAAGGACAGAAGGCACACACAGAGGGGTCAGAAGTGGTGCAGGTTAATGTCAACCATCTGACAGGGACAGAACCTGCTGGGAGAAGGAAGGCCACACCAACTCCCAGAGCCAGAGAATTAGTGACACCAAAGATGGCTCTAGGAGTGATAGTCGTCCTCCAGCACTGGGCATCCTGACGCATGTCTGGATGCAGTGGGGCTCACCCATTTTCCTGGCAACTACAGGAAGCCTAGAAGTAGGTGGATCATGACTCAAGCAGGTGCCCAGACAGGAAGCAAGAACCTATCCTAAAAATAACCAGTGAGAAATAGGGTTAGATATATGGTTCAGTGGTGGAGCACCAGCCTCGTAAGCCCAAAGTCCTGAATTCAAACTCCAGGACTACCAAGAAAAGTAAATTCCTAAAATTCAAACATTTGAATCTCCAGAGTCACAGAAGACACAGCAATAGGGAAAACCTGCACCAGGGGTACTATGAAATTCTAGGACATGTCCATGCATACACAGGTAAGGCCCACAGGAGGAAGGGAAAGGGAAAAGAGGGAATCTCGTAGCACTGTCAACCTATGGCCAGGAAGTGGAAGACCTAGAGACACCCCTCTTCCATATCAAAGGAAGCCAGCTCCACCAGACCAAGTGCAGGAGTTAATCCTGAGTATCTACTTGACTAGTCCCAGGGGACTGGTAGAGCACAATCTGAGTACATCTGTGAGGGTCCCGAGGACTCTGCCCACTGGTGGAGTAAAGCTCTCAACAGACTACGAGGAGGTGGCAGATATGGACAGTGGGGCCTGCTAGAAAGGCACCCTGAAGGGGGCAACTAGATCCCAGTCCCTTCTCATTGCTCCTCTTTCTTCCTGGCTGCTGTAAGGTGAGCCATGGCCTCCATCATGTCATTCTCCCAGGATGGTTCTGCACTGTCATTAATCTAAAAACAGAATCAGCGAGCCACAGACTCAATCTTCTGAAACCATGAGACAAAATATACCCATTACCCTTAGAATTTCTTTCACAGTAACAAAAGATATGTCCAGGGAACAAGTACAAATACACCCAGGGAGCAAAGCAGAGCGACACATTGGATCAGATTCTGCGTGGCCTCATAAACCCCTTCCCAGCAGTCCCCCTGCACACTACCAGGGGTAGTGCGGGGTGGGAAGGTTCTGCCTTGAGGTTCAGTTTTATCACATGGCATACTGACTGCAGGAAAGCACATGATGTATGCTGGCCCTGATCGGATCGCTCAAGTCCTCACAAGGGACAGAGCTCCTTCCAACAAGAGCCAACCCTGCGAGGTTCTGCTGCTGCTGTGAGTGCTGTGAAGATGAAAAGGCTGGCCCGCAGGGCTGAGCAAGCCTGGGAACCGACCCTTTCACACCTCCAGAAAGGGACTCAGCTCTTAGAGAGTCTGACTTCAACTCAGGACCCTCAGCAAAGACCAGCTGACCCTGCTGACCTAACCAACGGTGAGCTAAGAAATGAGAAATACAAAGTGGGAGAAGGGGTGGGTTAGGAGCGATGGATGGCAATGCGGTCAGACACCTTGTACTCATAGACTATGCTGTAGAACGGGAACGTCTTTGTACACTACTTTAAGATAGAGTAATAATAAATGTTAAAGAAAAAAGAAAAGAGAAATACTTTTGTCATTTTTGTTTTATTTTGGTTTTGTTTTCTTATAGATAGGTTCACACCGCACACCAGTTAAGTACTGGATCACTAAGCCACATCTCCAGCCCTGGTGAGTGCTATTTTAAGAAGATTAAGTTTGTGGTAATCCAATAGGTAGCAACAGGAAACCTATATATGATTCTAACTCAAGAGAAAGAAAGGCAGGAAGACGTGACTGCAGGGGCAAGAGGCAGATGCAGGGCCAGGGTGCCTGGAGGTACACCTTTAAGAAAAAGCAAATGAGGGCCTGAGAGGGCAATGCATACCTATATCCCATCTACTTGGGAGGCAAAGAAGGGGGATCATAGTTCAAGGACAGTCGAGGTGAAAGTTAACAAGAACCTAATTCTACCAACAAACTGGCAGGGTGATACACATTTGTAATTCCAGCTATCTGGAAAACAGTAAACAAGAGGTCAAAGCAGGCCCCTAGCAGAAAGCTGGAGACCGCTATCCAAAAAATAACTCAAGTGCCTGGTGCTGGTAGCTCACGCCTGTCATCCTAGCTACTCAGAAGGCTGAGATCTGGGGATCCTGGTTCAAACCCAGACTGGGCAGGAAAGTCTGTGAGACGCTTATCTCCAATTAATCACTAGAAAACCGTAAGTGTGTTGTGGCTTAAAGAAGTAGAGCATTATCCTTGAGCTGAAGAGCTCATGGACAGTGCCCAGGCCCAGACTTCCAAGTCTCACAACTGACAATAAATAAATAAGTTAATTAATTAATAAAGCACAAAGGGCTGAAAGCATGATTCAAGTGGTAGAGTACCTACCTAGCAAGCTCAAGGGTCTGAGTTCAAACCCAGACTACCCAAAAGAAAAAAAGGAAAGGCAACTGGCAGACAACCTAAAACACATGAGCACATTTTCAGTCTTTATCAACTCCATCGAAGATGATTTTAAAAAATGAGTAATGAACCCCTAAGAAAACTGAAAGGTTAACTCCAGGAGCAATATAGTTGTATTAAAAGACAATCTTGGTGGCTCACACCTATAATCCTAGCTGCTCAGGAGGCTAAGATCTAGGAAGTGTGACTCAAAGCCAATGTGGGCAGGAAAGTCCATGAGACTGTTTTTTTTATTTTAATTTTGACATGCAGGTGAATTTACTTAATAGCATCATACTTCAGTAAACGATGTCTTAGTTTTGATGAACAGACCTCGCCAGGGTTAATATACTAACATTTAGAAGCCCTGAAATCACGTGAGAAACATATGAAGACTGCTCTGCATTTGAAATTTTCCTGTAAAAAAAATTGATTCCAGAATAAAGAAAAAAATCCAGCACCATGAGACTCTTAACTATAAAAAAAGCTGGAGGTAGAACTGTGGCTGAAGTGGTAGAGCACCAGCCTTGAGCACAAAAGCTGAGGTACACAGCCCAGAGACAGTACCCAGACCATGAGTTTAAGCCCAAGGACCAGCACATAAATTCTGTAGTATTGAGCTAGACACCTGGGCCACTAAAGTACCTAACAAGAAGAACCTGGGACGGATGGAAGGAAGGCAGGGAAGGAGGAAGGAAAGGAGAGAGGGAGGGAGGGAGGGAGGGAGGGAAGGAGGAACAAGAAGAAGAAAAAGAAATCTGTAGCATTATTTGAAATTTTAATATTATCTTGATTTAGACAAAATAATTCATGCCAAGCACAGTGGCTCATGCCTGTAATCCTACCTATTCAAGAAGCATATCACCATTCAAGCCTAGACATAAAGATCAAAAGACCTTCACATCAACCAAAAAAAGGCTGAGCATAGTGGTTCATATCTGTCATCCCAGCTACATGGGAAGCATGGTCAAGGAGGCTTACTGACCAGTCAAGCCTGGGCCAAATTTGAGACTCTGTTTAAAAAAAAAAAAAAAAAGAGCTAAAACAAAAAGGCCTGGTTTTTGTGGCTCAAGTAGTAGAGTGCTTCCTAGCATGCACAAGTCCTGGGTTCACTCCCTAGTACCAAAAAAATATTGAGTGGTGGGTGGCTCTACTGCATCCCCTGTACCACCAGGCTGCAGGGCTGTGGTCTGTTTGAACCAGTTAACATACAAGAGGAATACACAGGGTCAGAACTACAACTTAAGAATCATGATCAACCTGCAGCAAACCCCAAAAATGCCTGCCTGGACGCCAGCCCAGATCTGTCTGCTGAAGATGAGCATGTGGAGCCCGGAGTGGCTGAGATAGGAGGCCCTGAGCCTAGGACACGTCTCTATCTGTGGTTCCAGACAAGATACTGCCGCAGCTGCTCAGGTGGACACGGTGGCTCTTTTGCTGAGGTGAGCACTCCCCTGGCATTTCATAGCACAAGTAGGAAATAAGGAAAAACTGTTCAATGAAGATGGCTGCCTGTCCAAACAGGGCCTTGCCCTGTCCTAGGGCACAGACAAAAGGTCCATCCATAGGACATTCACCACCTGAGAGAAGTATACAAAAAATAAGCCTGGGGGCCAGCCACCAAATAACAACTACTCCCTCTTCCTAAGCCAGAGCCTTCATAGGGAAGCAGAGCAAAAATAGGCCTTATTCATACAAACTACACGATGTCCAATTCTGCCCTGCAAAACCCACTCAGGGCAGGCAAACCCAGCCTGGGTGTGGTGCAAAGCTGTGTGCTGCCCTCTCTCTGTGCATGCCACTCCTTATTCTGAGTGCAGGCCTTTGGCAACTTCCTGCACACTTCTGGTCGGATGGATTTGCTGGTAGAGAATAGAGAGGACAAAGAATGTATAGATAAGCTGGACAGCAGCACAGGAGTTAAGCCTTCATCCTCATCTGCATCCAACTCCACAGAGCTAGTTACCAACAGACAAAGAGTGAGGACAGAGAAACATGCCCAGCCACCACCGAGCACCCCTTACAGAGTAAGCGTTGCAGCAGGAAGCAGGTGCTGGGGATTATGCCACTCTGTTGAATCTCTAGTTCACAGAATGCCTCTGCATAATCTCAAGTACAGGAAACTTCTACCAAGAAAGACCTCCAGTTAGAAACTTCCAAACTTACCTTTTCTTCCGCTGAGACATCAGCCATCTTAGGAAGTGGAGAGGGAGCACGCTTTTTGATCAACAACAGAACATCTAGGAAAAAAATAGGATTTATGTCTATCGAGCCAGTTACCATTTCATAGTCATAAATAAGATACAGGAGCCAGGCTCCAGTGGCTCACACCTGTAATCCTAGCTACTAAGAAGGCTGAGATCTGAGGATTGCAGTTCGAATTCAGCCCAGGCAAGAAAGTCCTTGAGACTTTTTTTTTTTTTTTTTTGGGGGGGGGGGCGTCCGGTCATGGGGCCTGAACTCTGGGCCTGGGCGCTGTCTCTCAGCTCTTCAGCTTAAGGCTAGTGCTCTACCACTTGAGCCACAGCACCACTTCCGGCTTTTTTTCTTTTTGCATATGTGGTGCTGAGGAATCGAACCCAGGGCCTCATGCATGCAAAGCAAGCGCTCTACCACTGAGCCACTTTCCCAGCCCAGTCCTTGAGACTTTTATCTCCAATAAACTACTCACAAAAAGCGAAAAATGCCACTGTGACCCAAATGGTAGAGCACTAGCCTCAAGTGGTAGAGCACTAGCCTAGCTTAGGGACAGTACCCAGGCCCAGAGTTCAAGCCCCAGAACACAAAAAATAAAAACAAATAAATAATTAACTACAGGGTTCTATCCTGAGGATAGAAACACAGGGGATCCCTCTGCCCCCCCCCCCAACCAAGCACACCCATCCTTTCCCAGACTTTGCACTATCTATATAACCCTGGCTGGTAAAAGGCTCAGGCCTGGGGACACTGACCCAGGAGGTAGGCCCAGCTCAGCTCTGATGACACCAAAAACTAGAGGAAATCTTGTTCTCACTTCTATGGGCTCATTCTTGAAAGTCTATGAGACTGGAAAGTTTGGACTTAATCCTCAAAGCAAACAGCCTGAGTGTGGTTAGTTCATAATTCACTGTGGCAGGTTGCCTCCTATCCAGTTTGAGTCTGATGGCACTGTGAAAGCCTATGAGCAAAAAGTACTACCAGTGTGTTCCAGAATTCAAGTCATTATCTGACTGGAATAAATAAATAGAAAATAGAGTATTTCTTCTGTGTGCCTACACACAGAACTATATGGTGAAGTAAACACATCTCTCTAGCCAGGCACCAGTGGCTCGCCCTTGTAATCCCACTCAGGAGGCTAAGATCATGGTTCAAAGCCAGCCTGGACAGGAAAGTCCATGAGACTCTTATCTCCAATTAACCACTAGAAAATTAGAAGTGGTTCAAGCCCCACAACTGATCCCCCCCCCCAAAAAAAAAAAAATCTGTCTAGCTGGGCACAGTGGTTTTACACCTGTAATCCTAGCTTTTCAAAAGGCTGAGATCTGAGGATTTCATTTCAAAGCCAGCTTAGGCAGCAGTGAGTGAGACTCATCTCCACTAAACTACCCAAAAAGCCAGAAGTACAGTTGTGGCTCAAGTGGCAGAGCACTAGCCCTGAGCAAAAAGAGCTCAGAAACAGACCCTACATCCTAGTTCAAGCCCCAGGACTGGCACCAAAAAAAAAAGAAAGAAAGAAAGAAGGAAAGAATGTAGTAAAGACATCTCTAATATGCCTAAAATCACCACATTTCCAACCCAAAAATAAAACCTGAAGAAGCTCCAGAAAATGATTTTGCTTTGAAACAGAATTAAAAATAAAGCTTGCATTTGACTTCTCAGATGTTTCTGCTTGCTCAATTTTGGTTCCTGCTATTTTTCACAAATACTCCATGACATGCACATTTTTTAACTAAGAGAAAAAAATGAAACTGGAGTCAATCTGCACTCTTGTTCATATCCACCTTAGACCTAGCCCTGGGCCAGCCAGAGCTCCCAGGTGATGGATACCACCTGGCCCCCGACACCACTTTACCTTTGTCTTGGACGTTTTCTTCCAGGATTGTTTTGGTATCGTTCAGCACCCTCTCTGAAGCAGCATGTATTAATTTATGATGAGTTACATTTTTGGGGTCTTCTAAACTCCCATGAGCACACTGGGAGAAAAAATCCAAATAACACATTTCTAATTAGAAAATAAGTCTTGAGGGACATGGCTCAAGTGCATCATAAGCGTCTTAGTCTAATCCCATATATCAACACAAAGCTGGAAAAACAGAAAAATCTTAACACTAGCAACACTAGAATGACTGATTTTCCTCACTACGGAAGATGTTCAATCATAAAAGGCTCAAAGGATGCCCACTGATGACAGAAGCCAAGCGAAACGTAAACAGGCGTGATCCCCTGAGGCCCTTGCAGTCACCCCAGCCGACTCCTGAAACGGGCGATTCACAGCTTGGACACTGACCCACACACAAAGTAATGGCAACCTCAGGCTGGGAAGGTGGCTCAGCAGTAGAGTGCTTGCCTAGCATGCATGATGCCCTGGGTTCCTCAGTACCACATAAGTAGAAAAAGCCGGAAAGTGGCATAGTGGCTCAAGTGGTAGAGTACTAGCCTTGAGCAAAGGAAGCTCAGGGACAGTGCCCAGGCCCTGAGTTCAAGCCCCAAGACTGGCTAAGAAAAAAAAAGTAATGGTAACCCTAATTGCTTCTTGAGTCTGGAAAAACTAAAAAGCAATTTTGAGATGAAAATAGGCCCACTGCTCCTGATAACACAAAGATCTGGGTATGTTAGCTGTGCCCTTGTTCTGTCTTGCACAGACCGTTTGTTGTACACTTGTTCTTTCTTGCATACTTTGCTGCGCTCTTAGGCTTTCTTGAACAGCTTATTGTGCTCCTGTTTTTCCCTGCAGTTTGCTGTGTGCGTGTTCTTTCTTGCAGACACTGTGTTACAGTTCTGCTCCTGTTCTTCCCTGCAGTTTGCTGTGTGCGTGTTCTTTCTTGCAGACACTGTGTTACAGTTCTGTTCTTGTTCTTCCCTGCAGTTTGCTGTGTGCGTGTTCTTTCTTGCAGACACTGTGTTACAGTTCTGCTCTTGTTCTTTCTTGCAGTTTGCTGTGCTCTTGTTCTTTCTTGCACCGACAGTTTGTTGTGCACTTGTTCTTGCACCAACACTGTTGTGTACTTGTTTCTTGCAGTCACTGTTGTGCTCTTGTTCTTTCTTTTTTTGTTGTTGTTGTTGCTTTTTTTTTTTTTTGCTGGTCGTGGGGCCTGAACTCTGGGCCTGGGCGCTGTCCCTCAGCTCTTCAGCTCAAGGCTAGCGCTCTACCACTTGAGCCACAGCGCCACTTCCGGCTTTTTTCTGTTTATGTGGTGCTGAGGAATCGAACCCAGGGCCTCATGCACGCAAGGCAAGCGCTCTACCACTGAGCCACCTTCCCAGCCCTCTGGTTCTTTCTTGCACAGACACTGTTATGCTCTTGCTTTTTCTTGTACAGTGTTAGCTGTGCACTTGTCCTTCCTTGCACAGACACTGTTGTACACTTGTGCTTCCTTGCACAGACAGTGTTAGTTGTGCACTTGTCCTTCCTTGCACAGACACTGTTGTGCACTTGTCCTTTTTTGCACAGACACATGAAAGGAAGTGAGGGGCAGTACAGCAAGAAGAGTGATAATCATCCCAGAGATAAAGAGTTGGAACTGAGCCCTGCAGTTTGCACAAAAGCCTGTGACTAGCCTCACACTCAATAGGCCTGCATGCTCACATACAGACCCAAAGACACAGTTGTGTAAGTCCCTAAGGCCCTGGAAAGCTGTAACAGCCCATCTCGTGGGGAGATGGCCACACAGGCACCCCACAGCCATCCCAGACTACAGGTGACTTGAGATGCCACCTCAATTGATATTGACTTCAAACTCCAAGAGGGACAGGCAGACACTTGTAAGACCCCTTCCCACCCAGTAATCAACATCAGCAATCAGAACAAATTGCTGGGCCCTGGCAGACACTGCTCATCCTTTCAGCCAGGATCCAGAAAATAATTCATGGCCACCTAGAATCTAGACACACCTGTCTTTGGATTACAGAAGATCTGCTGCTTCAGACAGTGCCTACCTACCACCTCTCCAACTGCCAAGTGCATGAAGGCCAAGCAAGACCATCATTCACCTATGCTGGCGCCACGCAGTGAAGACGGGCACACTGCAACTCCTGTATGATCAGGCGCCAAGACTGCGCACTTCACCACTGTCTATCAGCGCCATGCAGCCACTCACACCCCATGAGCCACACATCACTCCAGACAACAGTGCCATCTAATCAGCTGTGGCTCCTCCCCACAAGTCAGAACCCTGGAGTGGGGGGTGTGGTGGATCACAGATGCTTCTTAGCCTGCACTACTTAGATCAGAGGCACGGACGATATCTACTCTGGGACTCCCTGGGTCGATGGCTGAGGATATGTGAAAGGTAAAGAGAAGAAGCCAGGCAAGACAGCTCACTGGTGCTTCCACACCATGGTAGGGCAGGCACAGCCAGGCTGGAGGCGGCTGGGCACCAGGCCAAGTCATACAACCCAGGGCATGGGGCACGGGCCCTGGGGCCTTCACAGTTGGTGTGCCAACCCCCAATAAACTTCATAGAGGGGGACTTAAGACACCTTGCAAACCCAACTGCTGGCCAGAAAGAAGAAACAACCCATTCATCTCACATTTGAAATTGTTTTGAAAAAGGATCATGAAGGGGCTAGGAATGAGGTTCAGCAAGTAGAATGCTCGCCTAACATGCATGAAGCCCTGGGTTCAAGTCCTTAGCACCACACAAACAGAAAAAGCCAGAAGAGGCACTGTGGCTCAACTGGTAGAGCGCTAGCCTTTAGCAAAAGAAGCTCAGGGACAGAGCCCAGACCCTGAGTTCAAGCCCCAGGACTGACAAAAAAAAAAGGATCATAAATGTTTCAGGAGTCAACATGCAAACTGGCAAGGGGTAATCCATCCAACAGTAAGCTATCTTCTTCCCATTGGGACACAGCAGAGCACCCCAAAACTCCCCTAGAACTTGGCCAAGGCTTTGTGTCAGAGGTATTAGGTGTGACTCTACAATTTCTAAAACTCTTGACTAATTCTAGACAATTAGAACCCAGCCTATGAAGCAATTTTCCAAAAACAATCATCACCTCGGTTCCCCAAACCCTGGTTCTACACCACACTCCACGATGCCAATACTGTCTTTGCTGCACGCTGAGATGTGCAGGCCAGAGCTGAGGCAGGGCGTCCCCAGTGCCCCGAGTCCCATGTCCCCGCATGTCTCAGAGCAAGGAGGGCTCTACTCACGCCAGGTACTGCTGTCACTTGACGATGATGGTAGCTGAAGCTTAATAGAGCTTAGGAAACTTCAGCAGCCATGTGTGGAGTTTTGTGCTCTGTTCTAGCACCTTCCACCCAGAGAAACCCTATGTTGCCATGCTGTAATCTCAGCATGTGGGAAGTGGAAATTCCAGGCCAGTGCAGACTACACTATGAGGGCCAGGCAGGCCAGCCATGGCTACATAGTGAAACCCTGTTTCAAAAGTAACAACAAGCCAGGTGTTGGTGGCTCACTGGTGGCTCACGACTGTAATCCTAGCTTGAGGATCATGGTTCAAAGCCACCTCAGGCAGAAAAGTCAATGAGACTGTTATCTCCAACTAGCCACCCAAAAAGAACTGATGTGGCTAAAGAGATAGAGCACTAGGTTTGAGCAAAAAAGCCAAGGGACAGTGCCCAGGCCTGGAGTTCAAGCCCCAATACCAACATGCCTGCACATACATACAAAATGAACCTCCTGCCCTGAGCACAGAGCCTCTTTGGGGCTAAGACCTGGAGATTACTCCTGTCCAGTGTGTTCCAGAAGGGCTTGGGACTGCAGTCCTGCCATGCCTGCCTCTGACAGAGACTAAGTCCACAGCCTGTGCTCCAAGGGTGTGAAAACACTCTTTGAAGGAAGGTGTGAGTCACCTGTAATACTACTTACTTGGGATGTGGGAAGCATAGTTCAACGTGAGGAGCCTGGGTACAAAAGCCCTCAAGACTCCATCTGCAACTATCCGGCAAAATTCAGGCTGAAGTTGTGACTGAGGTGGGTACAACTTCTACCATGCTGCCATGACCAAAAGAGCTAAGCAAAAAGCCCAAGGCCCTGAAACCAAGTACACACACACACACACACTACAAGCAATAACTGGAAGTTTACCCTCAGCAGACACAATCGTGACACAAACTACCTAGCAGACATACACGGAAAATGTAAAATGTAGCATTCCACACAGGGCCCTACTAAAAAGTGGTGACTGACTGCATCTCAATCGGACAGTTACACTCATGTCAAGCAAGTACAGTGCTTCCGTGGGCCACCACCGTGGGCCAGAGAGGCAGGCACGGCTCACCTAACTGGAGGCCGAGGCAGAGAGCCTGCCTCTAAGAGGTAGTGGACTAAGGAGCACATAAGTAACTTCAATGTTCCTCTGGTGGGGACCCTGGCCGTGGGGCCTGGGCTTCCCAACTAATTAACCTTCCCCCACTCCTACCCGAAAAGCTTGGCGTCGGTGCAGTGCCACTATTTTAAGTGACTCCAGCCACAGGAGACAGCTCGGAGCAGCTGGCTGGCGGGGAAGGAAGGGGCCAGGAACTGCTTCAGTTCGCAGTTGGGAAAAACCAAAGCCTGGCCCAACAGCAAGCCAGCACCCGCGCGGACGCCGGGCCCAGCCCCGGCCTCTCCCTCTCCCGCCTCGGTTTCCCCGTCCGCGCCCCGCCTTTCCCAAGTAGTAGCAGGAATGAAAAGGAAGGGCTGGGCTTGGGGGTCGGCGCAGGCGGACCGCCGGGCTCAGGACCCGCGTCCAGAGATGTGCGGGACCGGGGCCGGGGCCGGGGCCGGTGTGCGGGGCGGGCGAGCGGGGCTGGGGCCGGGGCCGGTGTGCGGGGCCGGGGCCGGTGTGCGGGCCGGGGCCGGTGTGCGGGCTGGGGCCGGTGTGCGGGGCGGGCGAGCGGGGCTGGGGCCGGGGCCGGTGTGCGGGGCGGGCGGGCGGGGCCGGTGTGCGGGGCCGGGGCCGGTGTGCGGGGCCGGGGCCGGGGTCGGTGTGCGGGGCCGGGACCGGTGTGCGGGGCCGGGGCCGGTGTGCGGGGCGGGCGAGCGGGGCCGGGGCCGGTGTGCGGGGCCGGGGCCGGGGCCGGGACCGGTGTGCGGGGCGGGCGGGCGGGGCCAGTGTGCGGGGCCGGGGCCGGGACCGGTGTGCGGGGCGGGCGGGCGGGGCCAGTGTGCGGGGCCGGGGCCGGGGCTGGTGTGCGGGGCCGGGGCTGGTGTGCGGGGCGGGCGAGCGGGGCCGGGGCCGGGGCCGGTGTGCGGGGCCGGGGCCGGTGTGCGGGGCGGGCGGCCGGGGCCGGTGTGCGGGGCAGGCGGGCGGGCGGGCGTTCAGAGAGAAGGCGAGGCACCGTCCCAGACCGGGACGGGGGAAACCGCGGCTGGCCGGCGGCCCCGGGCGGCGAGGCCCGGGACCTGGGGCCGGACGCGGGCCGCGGGCCTTACGTGCTTGAGGCAGCGCTCCTTGAGCGCCTCCACCGCCGTGTCCTCGGTCGCCTCCTCCAGCCACTCGGAGCCGTCGGCCGCGCAGACGCGCAGACGCAGCACCGGGCCCGCGAAGATCTTCTCCTCCTGCACGAACATCGCGCCGCCGCCGGGGCCTGCGCCGGCCGCCGCCGAGCCCGTGAAGGTCACCGGGGCGGGCGGGCGGGCGGGCGGGGCGGGGCCGGGCCGGCGCGCGCTCCTGTGCTGGCCGCCGCCGCCCCGCCCCGGCTCCCGTCGGCCCGGCCGCCCGTCACTCGCCGAGGCCTCAGCGACCGCTTGGCTGCCGCCGCCGCCGCCGCTGCCGCCGCCGCCGCCGCCGCCGCCGGGGGCGCGCTGTCCCCGCCGCGCCGGAAGTGCGCCGCGGGCGGGCGCGCAGGGGCATGCCGGGAGCTGTGGTTCTCTGGTGGACCGCCGGCTCTCGTCGGAATAGCTACATAACGGGCGCGCCTGGAGCATGCCGGGAGTTGTAGTTCGCAGGCCCCTCCGCCCCCGCGCCCACGGGGCGCCGGCACCCCGGAGTCGGGGCTGGCCCCCAATTGACAGGCCCTCCCAGGCCACATCCACACCCTTCCCTAAGAGTTGCGGGGGAGGACGGGTGTGAAGAGTCTCAGCCGAGTGTTTACGTAGCTGCGTGTTGCACAACAGGTGAGACGGATTGGGTTGCGTGCAACATCCCAACGCGCCTCCCGCTTGGTTCGCCCCGTTAGTAGTGCCGGCTGCGGGGAGGTCCTCGAAGTGGGGTCCCCGAGGCCGCAGCCTGCAGCGCCGGGGTGCTGGGTGCTCGTCGGATGTGCAGCCTGGCTCCAGCGAGACTCCGAGGCAGGCCCTCGGGGTGAGAGCCGCTGCTCTGCCCGGCGGGCCGGCCCGGCGGGCGTGTGCGGGGCGCGTGCGGGGCGCGTGCGGGGCGCGGGGCGGGACAGCCGCCGCTGCACCGCACGGCCCGGCACGCGCTGTCCTGCAGGGTGGTGGAACAAAGATTCTTCACCAGCGCAAAACTTCTTGTTTTCAATACTGAGATTTGAACTAGGGCTTTGGGTTTTCTAGGTTGATACTCTACCACATGAGCCATGCTTCTAGAATTCTCTGCCCTGTCCATTTTGAGACAGGGCCTTGTTTTGGGCCCGGTTAACCTGGACCACTATCCCCTATTTACACTTCCCGCCAAACTGGGGTGGCAAGTGTGCAGTGTCATGTGAGATGGTCTCTCACAAATGGTTTATGCGGCTGGCCTTCCATTGTGATCTCTCCATCTCTGCCTCTCAAGTAGCTAGAATTACAGGCATGAATCACGGGGTCCAGCAGACCTCGCTGTAGTCAGGCTTCTGAACCTGGTGCTACATCCATCTGTGCACTTCCTTATGAAATCCAGTTTTGACAAAGAGCCTCTTAAGTACAAAAATACCCCCAGCCTTAATGTCTGTTCAGATTGCTCATCTTCCCCTGCCTCCAGGTGAAATGTGGTCCCCTGGCTAATCCTACTAAACTTGGCCAGAACTCCCTTCCTCCCATTATTGCTCCATCCTCCAGATGTTCCTACCTCCTCAATAGCTGCAATCTGCACTCATCTGAGCTGTATCTGCAGGAGCCTAATCTCTCTGCACAAAAAGAGCTCACTGTAGAGGCCCCTGAGCCAATGCCAGGGTCCTGAACAAAGTCTTCCTCTCTTAGTGCTTTAGTGTCACTGGAGTCTCTGTGTGTGTGTGTGTGTGTGTGTGTGTGTGTGTGTGTGTGTGTGTGTGTGTGTGTGTTGGTACTGGACCCTGAACTCGGGGGCTAGGCCCTTAGGGTTTTTGCTCAAGGCTGGTACCACTTGAGCCACAGCTCTACTTCCAGATTTCTGGCTGGTTAATTGGAGATAAGACTCTCATGGACTTTCCTGTCCCGGCTGGCTTCACATTTCAGTTCGCAGCCTCCTGAATAGCTAGGCTGGATTATTTTTTAATAGATGGCCAATGTGAATGTTGCACTTTGGGCCCCCAGGGCCCTCGATTGACTTGCACACCACACTTCATTCAGAGTGAAGATGAAAGGGTCACTGTTGCTGTGCTTGGAGGCTGGACCTCACAGCAGGTGTGCCGGTGCCTCTCACTCCGGCTTCTCCTCTCCAGCTTCTCCTCTGGGAATTTCACTTCACACACATCCTCATTCTTTCCTGCACGACAATCATAATCATGCCTAAATTCTGTTTTTCTAGTCTAACGTTTACTAATTGCCTCCTAGGAGCCAAAGCCTCTGTGACTTGCTGAAAATGGAGTCATGATCCCAGCCAGGATATGGTCACCTTGCAAGAAGGAAAGACAGGGGCCAACTGCTAGAGTTCTGGGAGGAGCGGGGCAGGAGGTGGGGCAACGGCTGACAGGACGCTGGAGGAGGGGAGCCAGGGATGGGAGCAAGGAGGATCAGTATGGGTGGGGAGAAAACCCAGTCCCAGAACCTAACAATGGCAAAGAGCGACAGGAAATCCAAAGAGGAGCCAAAGAGGAGCGGGTCCGGAGGAGCTTAACCACAGCTGGACTTGGTTTTGACACGGGAGGAGTGTTGGAGACCCAGGAGCCAGGCCAGAAGCCAAGAAAGCTGAGAAGTGGCTGCCTCCTCCAGCACTTGGAAGCTTCTGTGGCTAGGAGGGCCAGGCTGTGACCCTGAGACCACACTGTGAGGGTCTCCAGGTGACCCTACTGCTCTACTGGACCCCCTGCCCCAACCGCATCTCCACAAAGCTTGGTGAATAGGAGCCAGGTGGACGTGATTTGTGGCACTGCCTAGAGTCTTCTGGGATGTCCCCCGAAAGGAGGGTTCATCCTGTAAAGGAGTACAGAGTCTACTCCCTTCCCCCAACCCCGACAGAGACCTGTCAGGGCTGTCTCTAGCAACCTGAAAACTTTTCAAGTGGTTGCTGCAGTGTCTCAAGAAAGACACTAGAGGGAAGAGGTGAGCTGCGGTCCTGCCCCGAGCAAACCTTTGTGAGGGTGCTGCGTTGTGCTTCGTGAGTGCTGTGTGTGTGGATGTGTGCACTTGCGGGAGTGTGTGCGTGCAGTCACTTATGTGTGCACTTGTGTGTCTGTGGGCATGCATGTCAACGTGGGTGTATGTGGAGGGTCTGAGTGTGTGCGTGGCACAAGCATGTGATCTTGGGGCCTGGTACAGCTACTTCCAGTCCACAAACACTCTACAGCCCAGAGCCGGAACTGCCTGGGCGCTGGCTGCAGCTGGGCACACAGAGCCCTAAGGAGCAGCGTGGCCCGAGGAGGGCCCTGGAGGGGAGCAGCAGTGGGGAGGAGGGCAGAGGGGCCCACTGCAGCTTCCATGCCCATCTGAGTCTGCTGGGCATCCAGTTTGAGAAGCCTGTCTCCGCCCCAACTCCCTGCAGTGGGGAGCCAAGGCTGGAGAGAGGAAGGAGCAGGCCTCTGGTGACTCGTCTACTCACCGCACAAGCCAGCACTGCTCCACGCTGCGACTCCTGGGGAATCTCTCTCCTGCCCTGACGGCTGCCTCCACTGGCCCAGCACTGACCACGGAGGAGGCCCACAGACACCCCCGGGACTGACCATGGTGGACGCCCACAGACAGCCCTGGGACTGCCCACAGATGGTCCAGGGACCGCCCACAGAGGACCCCCACAGACAGCCCCTGGATGGTCTACAGAGGAAGCCCACAGATGGTCCACGGACCACACACAGAGGACATCCACAGACAGCCCCAGACCACCCACGGAGGAGGCCCGCAGACAGCCCCAGACCACCCACAGAGGAGGCCCACAGACAGCCCCTAGACCACCCACGGAGGAGGCCCGCAGACAGCCCCAGACCACCCACAGTGGACACCCGCAGACAGCCCCGGGACCACCCACAGTGGACACCCGCAGACAGCCCCAGACCACCCACCGTGGACACCCGCAGACAGCCCCAGACCACCCACCGTGGACACCCGCAGACAGCCCCAGACCACCCACCGTGGACACCCGCAGACAGCCCCGGGACCGCCCACAGTGGACACCCGCAGACAGCCCCAGACCACCCACCGTGGACACCCGCAGACAGCCCCAGACCACCCACCGTGGACACCCACAGACAGCCCCGGGACCGCCCACAGTGGACACCCGCAGACAGCCCCAGACCACCCACCGTGGACACCCGCAGACAGCCCCAGACCACCCACCGTGGACACCCACAGACAGCCCCGGGACCGCCCACAGTGGACACCCGCAGACAGCCCCTAGACCACCCACCATGGACACCCACAGACAGCCCCTAGACCACCCACCATGGATACCCACAGACAGCCCCTAGACCACCCACAGTGGACACGCGCGGACAGCCCCGGGACCGCCCACAGTGGACATCCGCAGACAGCCCCTAGACCACCCACCATGGACACCCGCAGACAGCCCCGGGACCGCCCACAGTGGACACCCGCAGACAGCCCCTAGACCACCCACCATGGACACCCACAGACAGCCCCTAGACCACCCACCATGGATACCCACAGACAGCCCCTAGACCACCCACAGTGGACACGCGCGGACAGCCCCGGGACCGCCCACAGTGGACATCCGCAGACAGCCCCTAGACCACCCACCATGGACACCCGCAGACAGCCCCGGGACTGCCCACCATGGACACCCGCGGACAGCCCCGGGACTGCCCACCGTGGACACCCGCGGACAGCCCCGGGACTGCCCACCATGGACACCCGCGGACAGCCCCGGGACTGCCCACAGAGGAAGCCTGCAGATGGCCTGGGGAAGCCAGCGCAGGTGCTGCTGCTCCCCGGAGCGCCACACAGCAGGATTGTCTCTTCTCCCAGCTCTGGAGCTACAGGCGGCCCCTCCTATTCTGTCTCCCTGTCCCATGTCCCTTCCCTTACAGGGACACCCCAAGTTGGATTTAGGGCCATCCTCACCAAGTCCAGGATGCCCCATCTCAAGCTCTGACTGAGGGGTCTCAATTCCAAGTTGGCCCACATCAGGAGGCGGCGGACGGATGGACTTCAGGAGACCCTCCTCATCGCACCATCCGACCCCAGGTCAGGGCCTTCACCTACCCCTCTTCTTCCCAAGGGCAGAGCCAGCCCTCCCCGTCCTCCCCAGACAAGCCTCCCTCTGGTCTGGGCCTCCACACCCAAGAGGAGACCACTCTCCAGGGG